GTTGCTTCAAGCCCCCTCCAACCTGGCCTTGAACCCCTCCGGGGATGGGGCAGCCACAGCTTCTCTGGGCAACCTGGGCCAGGCTCTCACCACCCTCACAGCAAAGAAGTTCTTCCTGAGATCTCATCTCAATCTCCCCTGTTTCAGTCTAAAACCATTCCCCTCGTCCTGTGGCTCCAATCCCTGATCAAGAAAACCATTCCCCTCATCCTGTGGCTCCAATCCCTGATCAAGGGACTGGAAGGGGCTCTAAGGTCTCCCTGGAGCCTTCTCTTCCCTTGGCTGAACACCCCCAACTCTTTCAGCCTGTCCTTACAGCAGAGGGGCTCCAGCCCTTGGAGCATCACTGTGGCCTCCTCTGGCCCCGCTCCAGCAGGTCCATGTCCTTCCTGTGCTGAGGACTCCAGAACTGGACACAGGACTCCAGGTGGGGTCTCACGAGAGCAAATTAGAGGGGCAGAATCTTCTCCCTTGCCCTGCTGGCCACGCTTCTTTTGATGCAGCCCAGTATGTAGTTGCCTTTCTGGGCTGCCAGCATGCACTGCTGGCTTCTCTCGAGCTTCTCATCCACCAAATACAAATGGCAGTTTGATACAAGTGTGAAAAGGTTTGTCTCCAAACACTCTCCAAATCAGGGGTTCAACAAGGAGTAGCTCAGCATCCACTGTAGCGTTTGGGTTTTTTTGGTCTAATTTTTTTCCACTTTCATTACATTCCTACAAAAAAAAGCATGAAACGTTGTTACTAAATAGAGAAGAAGAAGAACTAAAGGGTATTTATCAGTATCAGGGAGAGAAGATCAGTTTGCATGTCTAATGGAAAAATTCTATTTTTGCCCAGTACAGTGGAGTTCTACCAACAGCACACACACACTTCTCAAGTGCCAGCCAAAATAATTACTTCTCTCCTTCTGGGGGCAGGGGGGGGAGAGAAATCCACTAAATCATGAATATTCAATGGATTGATTAATGACATCCTAATCCTTTAGCTAAAATTTCTGCTCCTTAAAATCCAGCAAACACTAGCTGCTAGTTACAAGAAGAATTGAAAATGCAAAAATAACTTGGTTTCCAGAGGTTCTCTCAACCTGATGACTGTGGCAGCGCCCGACGGCAGTACGATACCGCGGGACACCTGGGGCAGAGTCTCCTCACGTTCTGGTGGATGTAAACCAGGCAGAAAGAACTGGTTTCTTGTCCTTTACTGGTGCCACAGCAGCTCCATCCTCTCCCACAGGCCGGCAGGGAGTGAGGGTTCTGCTGGGGTGTCCTGCACCCACCGGGGGAAATCTAAACATCTACATTTCCAGCCTCGTGAACACCAGTGTAAGAAAGCAGAGGTTTGGGTCATCTTAGATAAATTTCCTTTAACTGCATAAATTAGCCTTTCTGTGACTTTGAATTCTCGTAAGAAAATAATGAAGTGCAACAGAAAAAAAAAAACCCAAACCACAAGGGTTCAATGTGAAGCCATGAGATACATCCTCAAAATCTTGACATTCTGTCTGGAAGATTATTAGGGCAATTGGGATTCTTCTTTGTTTTCAGGCTTCAGGTGGTGCTCCTCAGGAGTTGCCAGACCTTCCTTTTCCTCCCAGGATTTTGAGGATTCCTGATTATTCAGCTTTCCTGTTCTTTCTTTGCTGCCTGGAACCACCTCTGAGATAGTCCCTCGCCACCATGTCAGGTGAATTCAAGCTTCCCCATTGCCTGTGGGTCTTTGTTTCTCACACCAGTGTTTTCTCTGTGTGGGAATCTGCCCCATGAAGCGCTAACGGCTTCCCAGGAGCCACAGAACGTGCCCTTGCTGCTGGCAACAGCTCGGGAAGGGTTGGTGGAACCCACCCTGCAGCAGAAGGTCTCAAAGGTCTCGTTGCGTGCAGAGCTTCTGTCCCTCTGCTGCCCCGGGTACCACGGTGCTGCTGGCATCACAAGGGTCACCAACAGCGTGAAAACTGACAGGCTGGAGAGGTGGGGGGGTTCAGCCTGGAGAAGAGAAGGCTCTGGGGAGACCTTCGAGCCCCTTCCAGTCCCTCAAGGGGCTCCAGGAGAGATGGGGAGGGACTCTGGATCAGGGAGGGGAGCCATAGGATGAGGGGGAAGGGTTTGACACTGAAAGAGGGGAGATTGAGATGAGATCTGGGGAAGAACTTCTTTGGTGTGAGGGTGGTGAGAGCCTGGCCCAGGTTGCCCAGAGAAGCTGTGGCTGCCCCATCCCCAGAGGGGTTCAAGGGCAGGTTGGAGGGGGCTTTGAGCAACCTGGTCTGGTGGGAGGTGTCCCTGCCCAGGGCAGGGGGGTTGGAATGAGATGGTCTTTGAGGTCCCTTCCAACCCAAACCCTTCTATGATTCTATGATTTGTTATTTAAATCTCTTTCAGCCTCACAGTGGTGCAAAGCTCCAATGACATACTGGTTGTGTAGCATGTGGGAAGGTCTTCTCAAAACTTACACAACAAAGCACAACCTTTCCTGGTCTCCTACAGCTGTATCCTGGTGGTGCCCATCCTCAGGGGACTTTTTGGTCTTTACTGGTTTTTGTTATCTGCGGTGCGATGCTGCCTCCTGTGTCGCTTTTAAGGTATCCACTGGCAGATAATGCTGCAGCTCCTGAGGATGATGCAGATAGTGTTAGGCTAATGGGAAATACAGTAGAGTTGGCCAATCCATGCAACCTCAAGCCAAGCAGAGCAATGTAGTGGTTGTTCTTCAGGACGTGCTAAAGGGCACATGACGGTTGGTGCAAATTCTTTGGGGTTTGGGCTCTAGCAGTTTCTCAAATCTCGATCATCGGGCCAGCAGTGATTGTGGGATGACTGAGCAAGGCTGAAATAACTTCCTCTGAGTAAAAGAAACGAAGGGAAAATTGTTGCTACTGTAGGAGTAGCCCAGTGGAAGGACTCCAGTGGAACACACGGTGTTACAAACCGGCTCAGGAGAGGGGGATCAGGTTTTTTATCAGGTGCCCTCCACCCGCGAGAGGCCGATGCTGATCCAAAGCAGGAGTTTTCCCCACGAGGCCAGCAGCAGAAAACCTTTCTCCTCTGCTGCAGCGGTGTTTTGCAGCTGGGCTGGTGAACTTCCCAGGTGATGGCTGTTTGTTGTCAGGCAGCAGAGCTTCAAAGGCTGCCCCGGTTAGTTCTGTGCTTTATAGGAGAAAAAAAAGCAGCAACAACAACAACAGAGATGTGGGAAGGTTTTGAAGTTAATCCTCCTGCACAGGGCAGGGGGTTTAGCTGTTGAATGTGTGTGCAATCTATTTCCCACACAGAATAGAATTATTTTTTTCTTACAGGTTTTGGCCATGTTTATTTTATCCTGACATGCTGTCCTCCTGGGGACCACGGGCTCTCCCAGGGGCCAGGTGAGACTGATGACAGCAACACGAGGTGTGTGGTGGCTTCCTCCCTCCCTCCCTCCCTCCCTGCTTTACTGGGGACTCAGTTCTGCACCTTTCTGGGAAGAGGGGGGAGAAAATACTCTCCTTGTCCATCAGCAAGGAACTGCTTCAAATTCTCTCACTTTTTTTTTTTTAAGATACTGAATTTGTTTTGTTTTGTAGTTTGTTGTTGGTTTTTTGGTTTTGTTTTTGTTTTTTTTTTTTTTTGCATTAGGGTCCTGTTATGTGCTGTCAGCGTACCAGATTTCCTTAAGTCTAGCTTTTTACAACCAGTGCTTTATAGCTAAAATAGACGTTGCTATTTCTGTGTAATGCAAGGAGGCTGACTTCAGTGGGCGCCCTGCGTGACGAAGGACTGGCAGGAATGGGTCGTCTTTAGCTGAGAAGCTTTTAAAATAACTAGCAGGTAGTTTTCTGTTTGCCTGAATATTCCTGCTCCTGATAGTCTGGGCTGTGTGGCTGCCCTTTTAGGTAAACAATTCTGCAAAGTTGTGTTGGGATTTATTTATTATTTTTTTTTAAAGTGCTTTTATTGCTAGAAGGAAAAAAATAAAAAAATCTTGGTTGACAGCTCTGGGAACAAAACTCTTGTGTTTATCACGTGCCACAACAGCCCCCAAGAAGCCCCAAACCTGCAGGTGTCAGGATGAGCTTCCCCTTGGTGCCAGCAAAAAGCTTTCCAGGTTTTCAGGAATTTGTAAGGTAGCCCCAGCTTCCTGTCACCAAAATCATTCACAGCTTTACCCTCTTCCTGGAATAATAAACCTGAGTGTGGGTGATGGACTGAGCACGTTGTTTCGGGGTCTGACTGTGAGTTACGTGCCTGTATCCTTCCTCCAGGGCTGTAGCAGGGTCCTGGGTCTGACTGTAGAAACCATAAAAGCTTCAATGTGCAGCTAAATTAAAACTCCACATCTTTTAAAGCAATTTTAGGTTTGTTTCCATGGCGCTGATTTTTATTTTATTTTCCTTTTTTTATTTTATTTTTTTTTAATTATGCTTTGAAGGCGAGAGGGGGATATTCTTAACATCTTGAAAAAGTTGCCTGGTAGGATGCAATGACTCAACGTTGTTTGAATTTCTAATCCCTTTTCGGGTCATCTTTTTGAAAAAGAAGGGTTAACTGCGGCAAACGGATAAAGCTCTAAATAGAGGGTTTTACCCCTCTTCGGGGGAGCATCCCGGGGCTCGGAAAACTTCAGCTTGGAATTCAAATTGATGCCGTTTAACGCTAATAAACCTTTCAAGTCTCCGAGATCCTGGGCTCTTGGAGCCGTTCCCTCCTTGGGATAGATTTTTGGGGGGCAGGAAGAAAGTGGGATGCTCTGTTTGGGATCGATTGGGGAAATGGGGATGGGGAGTTAATCGGGAAGAAGCAGGGGGTGGAAATTAATAGAAAATGGCAATATAAGGGTACGGCATATAGAGATGCTCCCCATAAAGACACTCGGGGGGGGTCGAGCCGG